AGCTAACGTCTTCTCTCTGTTCTTAGAGTGATGTGCAGCTGATCAAGACTGGAGACAAAGTGGGTGCCAGCGAAGCCACATTGCTGAACATGTTGAATATCTCACCCTTCTCCTTTGGGCTCGTCATCCAGCAGGTGTTTGACAATGGCAGCATTTACAACCCTGAGGTTTTGGACATCACTGAGGAGGCCTTGCACAAGCGTTTCCTGGAAGTAAGAGATGCTTCTCTCATGTGCACATGTTGGTGTGCAGGGTGTCACTTGTGTGGGTCTGTGGGCTCAGTGGTAGAAAACTGGTTGTGTGAAGTGTCAGGTTCAGTTCCTGCAGTTTCCCATTTGTAAGAGTCCAAGAGTGTAGGGGGCAGGAAAGACCTGTTCCTGGGGCCTTCATGAGTTGTTGTGCTAGTTGGCACTATGATCTGATATAGCATAAGATTCATTTGTGTCTACGGGTTTTAGAAGCAGTTGATCAAAATTTGCAGTCTTGTCTAATTGTTCTTAGTTAAAGCTGACTAGTCAGATGATAGCCGTTGACGGTAGAGAGGTTGTATATCAGCTGGCATTTTTGGAAACATCCTGCTTTCATTTGCATCTTAAACGTTTGTACTGTGGCCCACCATGTTGCCCACACTTTTTTTGCCTCCTTTAGGGTGTCCGTAATGTTGCCAGTGTTTGCCTGCAAATTGGGTACCCAACTGTTGCTTCTGTGCCCCACTCGATCATCAATGGCTACAAACGAGTCTTGGCTGTGGCTGTGGAAACTGACTCCTCTTTCCCATTGGCTGAAAAGGTAAAAAGTCTGAATAGAAATAATGAAGTGGTTTCAATGCTAGTTAAGCTTGGGTCTGGGTGCAGGCTTTTGAATTTTAACTATGCAATGCGAGAACCGGCATTTGGAGTCCTTCCTGTGGAATGTGTGTATGTGTAAAGTCCCCAGTTCAGTTAATTAATTGGAGCCACGGACAAACTGGGTAGACTGAAAGCAAGCTTCCATATCTGCTCTACCTTGATATTTGTAAAGCCCTTTGAACACTCGATTTTGTCATCACCCTGCACCTACAAAAAATTGTCAGAGTAGTCCAAATATCTGCAATGGAGGAAGCTAAATGTTATGATGCCTAATCATAATCCCAGGCTAACCCAATCTTGGACGCTAAGCAAGGTCGGCCCTGGCAAGTAAATGGATGAGAGATCTCCAAGGAATTCCAGGGTCATGACGGTGAGGCAGACAATGGCAAGCCACCTCCAAACATCTATGACCTTGAAAATCTTACAGGGGTTGTCATAAATCAGCTGTGACTTAAGAGCACTTTCCACCAGCGCCAGTCGTTCTAATGAAGCAAGCTTGTCATGAGCAGGGCAGTATTTTAATACAGAGTACTGAAGCCTTGTCCTTAGCTACTGGAAAACATGTTTAGTGACTTCTGGCTTCTGAGATTGCCTCAGGCACTGCCCACATCTTTCAGACTCTGCTCTGCAACCAGAAGGGCTGGAAACTTCAAAGATGTGGCATGAGGTTTTGGAAGTGGCTGGATCCCTGTGCCAATTAAACCCTGGGACTTTTTATTGTGTTCATGTGTTCAGCCCTGAGTGTGCAAGGCTTCCAAGGCTGAGATCTTGTTTTCAATCAGTCTTGGGTTTTTTTGCCACTTTGTTTTTTATAGCCTGTTTACCTGTTGCTTTTGTGATAGTGGGCCTTTAGTTTGGATCCTGAGAAAGCAAGCGGCTTCCTTACCCAAGGGTGCACGAATGTCATGTTCGATGGATCCTTTAGAGAATACTGAGCGGATCCACTTCGTCCTTGTTTGAAACTAACTGGTGCTTTTCGCCCCTTCATAGGTGAAGGCCTTCTTGGCTGATCCTTCAGCCTTTGTGGCTGCTGCCCCAGTGGCTGCTGAGACTGCTGCTCCCGTTGCAGCAGCCCCAGCCAAGGAGGAGGTGAAAGAAGAATCCGAAGAGTCTGATGAAGACATGGGATTTGGTCTGTTTGACTAACAGCCGGTTTTGTCATGTGCCGGCCAGAGCAGAGTGAAAGAATAAGAATAAAGAAGATTACTTCTCTATACACCTGTGTTTTATTGCAGTTACTAGAGTGAAAGTGTCTGCTTTCGGTGGTGGGGCAGGCTGTTAGTGTAATAGGTCTTGCACCTTGGGATCTGGGTTGAGTGATGAGCAGATTTTGTGGATTACAGAGCAGGCGTTCCTGGGGATGCTGTTCTTTGAACTGAATAGAGGGAAGGGGGAAAATCATCTTGGGTGGGGTTTGGGAATAAACGTCTCCACAAATGCTGTCCTGTATTAAATATTACTTCCCACTGGTAAAAATGAAAAAAACAAATGAAACACAACCACTTTCAGTCTATTTTGCAAAGGCCTTTTTCAAGATGTCTGTCTGACTGCAGGACTACTGACAATGCCAATATTGTCTGCCAGAACTCATGACAAATTTGTCAGTATCAGTGATTGCTTGTAGCACTCCTTACTTCAACCCATTCTTGTACAGTGGCTTGAAGGACAATGCCTGCCTATAGACTGGAATATAATGCATGGAACAGCCTCAATATTGCAAGTGTCACTGAAAGATCAGGATGGGCAGCCGTGTTAGTCTCTAGCAATAGAAAAGAACAAGAGTCCAGTAGCACCCATTCCCATTACACCGTTAAGGTGCTTTCTGTGCAGTAACGAGTTTGGTGTAGTGCTTAAGAGCAGCGGACACTAATCTGGGAGAACCAGGTTTGATTCCCCACTCCTCCGGATGCAGCTGCTGGGTGATCTTGGGTCAGTCACAGCTTTGGCAGAGCTCTCCGCCCCACCTACCACACAGGGTGTCTCTTGTGGGGAGGGGAAGGGAATGTGATTGTAAACCACTATGAGACTCCTTTGGGTAGTGAAGACTAGGGTATAAAACCAAGTCTTCTTTAGAGTAAAAGGTGCCCTTTAAAGTAAAACTGACCATATAAAACTTATGTTTGACCATGAAATGCTTGATGTGGCCTATGGCAGTACGACAGAGCTTGAGGCTGAAAAGGGTTGCACTGAGCAGAAGTGGAAACGGCTGGGAGCCCAGGTGAACCATCTTGCAAATGAAATTTGGGGGGCAGGGGGGAGGGAAGATCATGGATACGTAAGGATTGGGTTCTGTGTGCCTGACATGCAAAGAATCTTCACTTGTTTTCACAAGAAGTGGATCAAGCAGATCGCCATTTTGGTTGCAAAGAATGGGTTAAGAAATTCCTGTGCTCCAGCCCCTAGTAAACTTCGATATAGATCAACACAAGATGGTGAGACTCCTGCACCTGGGATGGGTATACTTAGTGTTAGGACATAATGCTGTAAATATGAAAGGAAAGTTGCTGCTGAAATACCCTGTAAAATATTTCTCAAGGGTATTGGTATACTGGCTTCTATTGCATGTGGTCAGTGGAGCACATACTTTGGATGGGGGAGGCTTTGGGACTTTGGCCTGTTCCTTCCCATTGCTTATGATTTACAACGGGGGGCCTTCAACCTTTTTGAGCCTGTGGGCACCTTTGGAATTCTGACACAGGATAGTGGGCGCAACTACAAAGAGGGAAGTGGAGGCTAGAGCCACACATGGCAGCATAATCCCAAATGTAGGGAAGAAAAGTAGTGATTTTTAAAGATACACTGGGAAAGAAGAATGAGAGAGAATGTTTTTATCTGCCCAGCCAATGAGATCGCCAGTGGTCCTGCTGGGCAAGAGGCCCTCATGGACCATCCACTAAAAACACCTGGTGGGTGCCAGGAAAGGTGTTGAGTGGGTGTCATGGTGCATGGGCACCAAGTTGACGGTGGGAACCCCGATTTACACACTTGTTATCAATATCTCAAGACTGCCATATTAGAGGAACTTCCACGATGCCCTTTATCACCAACGTCTTTTGATTGTTTAATCAAATTTAGACCCTGCCAAACATAAAAAGTAAATCCAGTCAGTTTACAAATGTAAAGCATATGGACAATGGCCCATGTAAGTTCAACATTCTGTTCCTCACAACTAGAGCCCCTGAAAAGGCCCACAAGGAAAGGGTCAGAGGATAAAGTTCTCCTTGTTGCTTCTCGTGATATTTAGTGGTGCATCTACCTCTTAACAGGAGCTGTGGTGGCTCAAGTGGTTAAGACACTGAACTGCAGGCTATGGAAGGTCGGTAGTTCAGCAGTTTGAGAACCGAGTGTGCCGCATGACGGAGTGAGCTCCCGTCTCTGGTTCCAGCTCCTGCCAACCTAGCAGTTTGAAAGCAAGAAATTGCAAGTAGATAAATAGGGACCACTTCAGTGGGAAGGTAACAGTGTTCTGTGCACCTTGGTGTTTAGTCATGCCGGCCACATGTCCACGGAAATGTCTTCGGACAGCGCTGGCTCTTCGGCTTTGAACAGGAGATGAGCACCGCAACCCCACTACACCAAACTGGCTTTGGGTCCCCATTGAGAAATCAATAATTAAATGTAATGTAATGCAAAAAAGCAGCTGTGTTAGTTTGTTCAAGGAAACTTTTCACACACAAGGTCAAACTGGAATACAGGATTTTTATCTCACTACTACCCCAATTCTCTTAATAAAACCAGGGACTCCCCCATAACTAATGAATGAGTACATCTGAATTTTTACATAACAGCATTTCGCTGTGTTTCCGACATCCCTGCTGTTTATTTTCATAGCCCTACACAAAAGATCTATGCAGTGAGGATACCAGAGGGGTAGGCGTGTTAGTCTATTGCAGTAAAGTAAAACAGCAGTCCAGTGGTACCCTGCTTCGTACCTCTGGACTTCTGCATAGGGAGGATCCACTTATAGCCTCTGCAACAGAATATAGTTCAATGGACCCTCTCCCAGTCTCCCGCCCCCGGCAGCCCTGTCGCTTAGCAACTGTAGAAAGGGAGGGGGGCGTCTGAGGGCGCGACGCGCGGCGCAGGCCTTCCCCGTTCCTTCGCACGCCGACGAGCTTTTGACGCAAGCACACTGCGCCAACCACACGGCATGCAACGTTGAAACTGTTTCCGGGTCGGAGCCGGCGCTATGGCGGCTGACACGCAGGTGGGTGCTGCGATTGGGGGTTCGCGAGGGGAGAGGGGCGGAGGGAGCCGAGGCAGAGCAGGCAAGGGCGGTTGGCCCCCTCGTCCTTCTTTTCGTGGGCTTGAAACGGGCTTCCGTCCACCACCCCCTTCCTTCCTGCTAATCTGTCATGAGGAGGTTCACGGTACTCTGACAGGGTGGGGAGGGGCGGTCCAGTTTGTTTGAAGAGTCCTTGTCTTAATCGAGGAAGAGGAGGCAAAAGAAAGCGCGCTTCCTTTAGAGTTAAGAACTGTAACCGCCTAGCTTGTTTCAAGGGCGCAAGAGACCTGGCAGAGCCGACCAAAGTTCATTATGCTGCTTTTCCACGGTGACTAGCCAGCTGCCTTTGGAAGGCCACCAGCAGGGTGCAGAGTCCAGCCACTGGTGTTGGCTTAGCAGCTAGAATCCAGGATATACTACCTTTAAATAAGGAGGTCGTAAAAACGTGCTCCCAGGAAACTGGCTGCTTTCTTTTAAAGGTGTCTAAGCTCGTAGCTGTCACTTGTGGCTGTGAATTTGTTTGCCCCGAATCCTCTGCAAATCCGTTTCAATGGCCAGCACTGAGCTCAAGTGTTAAGATCAGGAGTAGTCATTCTGTCATTATGTTTCTCTCTCCTGTGTCATATATAATTTTGTACATCATGCTTTCAGGATACGAGCTTTGACTCTTGAAAGTTCATACCTTGAAAAAGCTTGTTGGTCTCTAAGGCGCTACTGCACTTGAATCTAGGTGTTCTACTGCAGGCATATATGGCTACCTCCTGAAATATCATTCCTGTCAAATAATGTTATATCTTAGAAACCATGATAATCTGTTGGTTCTAGTGGTTATATCCAGTTTGACTCCATCTCAGTCACATGTCCATTTTTCAACCTTCAGTAGAATTGATACCTGCAGTCCACTGTAAGGCAGAGATTGTGATGGCTTCCTTCCTTATGCCCTGCCTTTCTTCCCAGTGGTGATCCAAAGAGGCTTACATGTTTTCCTTGCCTCCATTTTATCCTCGCATCTTCTGAGATAGGTTAGGCTGGAGATGTCATGAGGCTGAATACATTAAAGATAATAAATCAATAGTGGTGATACATGTTTGATGTATTGGATAGACTGCCAGACAAGGCACACCTACTTTGCATGTGGGGGTTTCTTGGTGGTGGGGGAGCTGCATATGCTCCCCTGAATCTTGTGACAGATAAAATTAAAAAGCAGTATAGCTAGTGCTGCTATAACAGTACAACAAGAGTTTGATTTTTAAAAATAGAAGTGCTTGATACTATGGAGTTACCTTTTTATAGTGCTATGTAGAGTTGGATATAGTTAAGATGTGAAAAGGACCTAGTTCAAATCCTGCCTTAGCTATGAACTCACTAGGTTGTCTTTGTCAAGCTGTTATCCTTCATAAAGAGCAAGAGTCCAGTAGCACCTTAAAGACTAACAAAATATGTGGCAGGGTATGAGCTTTCGTGAGTCACTACTCACTTCTTCAGATATGGTGAGAGGGTGGAACTATCTTAAAGTGTTGTAAGGATTACTGAAATTATGTATGGGAAACGGTTTGGAATTCTTGTTGTCATCACCTAGCCTCCTCCACATGCTTCACGTGTTTCATTTACAGAGTTTGTCCCTGCTAGCTTTGTATTTTGACCCCAATTATTTTTTTACACACAAGCCCTATAGTTTTCTGTACTACATGTCAGTGGCACCAGTTTATAATTCTGTATCTCAAACCTCTCCCCTTTTGTCTGACTTTATAGTTGTTCTTAGATGTAATATTATATCTATGGCTTGCTGAACGTGTAGATTCCCCCTGTCTCCCAGCTCTCAGAGAACAGGAGAGAGAACAAACAAGAACACAGCATAACCAGGAAGTAGCAGGATTTCTGGTTGTCTAAATTCTTATCTCCCTGAGGCGATCTTGAAGAGTTTTTCCCCCTAACATAAATAAGGCTGGTGATCAGTGTGGTGTGCAAATGAGGTAGAAAGTCTGGGCAGGCAAATTCATTAGTGCTGTCCAACAGCTGGAAGGTTTAGTCTTGTGCTGTCTTAGTTGGCACTATATAAAGCTACTTGTGGACCATTACAAATGTGCCCACATTTTGTACTACCTGTTTTGTTCATGCATATTTATTTTAGTCATTTGTGGCAAGAATCAACATGCATTTCCTACATCATTTCTCTCTAGGCCCTTCTTACACACTTCAGACAGCCAGGTTAGTGGTTCTTTGCAGGCTTGGAGGAGATGCATCAGCTTGCATCTCTCTGCATATTTTGTCCTTGGATACTTTTTCTGTCTGTTCCATAACACTAGAATTCCAGGTTACTTAATGAAATGGATGGGCAGTAAATTCAAGACAGACAACAGAAAGCATTTCTTTGTATAAAGTGTAATTTATTTATATGCTGTCACAAGATGTACCAGTAGCAACTAACTTAGCTGGTTTTAAAGGGAGTAGACAAATTCATGGAAAATAGATCTGCCAGCAGTTATTAGCCATGATGGCTAAATGGAACCTCTGAGTTCAAGGACTGTACAGTAGGTGTTAGTTGTAGGAGAGGGTTCCAGAGTAACTGCCCTACTTGTGGCTATCTAGTTGACCATTTGAGGAAACAGAATGTTGATCTGCATAGACCCTTGGTTGTTCATTCCACCCTATCTTTTTATTGTTTATTTTAGGTTTCTGAAACTCTGAAGAGGTTTGCAGTGAAAGTGACCACATCCAGTGTGAAGGAACGAAGAGAAATCCTCAATGAACTTGGAAGATGCATCACTGGAAAAGGTATTTGTATTTTGCTTTAAAAGTAGTAAATTATTCTATTTGTATGCAGCCTCTTCAGAATCCTGCTTGAGGTGGCTTACAGTTTAAATCATTACCTCTTGATTGATGCATGCCAGTGGGCTGTTCCTTGCCCACATGGAGGCAAAAGAAGTGTGGAGGAAGTGGCATCAGGCCTGACTTTGGGCTGCTTTCAGAAAGGCATACAAGTTGAAACATTGGGCCATCCCCCTCCATTTGCTTCCTTCCAGGAAGCCTAGCTGTTGACCAAAGGAATCCAGTTCCTCTCAAAGAGTGAAGCAAATTTCAGAGATTTCTTTTAAGGGCTGGTATTCTGGGTTTTCTGAAGTGCTGTCATTTAGCCTTTCCCTGTATCAGGGAGTAATATGTTGTTTTATATTGTCAGGGCTGGGGATGACAGAAGAATGGAAGTCTGAATCCCTTGGTCACACTTCTTGTGGTACTATTGTACTGGAATCCTTTCTGGTCAACAAAGTAGTGTTGACTTGGGAGCCCTAGCCAAGATGAAATCCCCCCCCCCCATTTCCAGTAGCTCTTTGAAAATTCATAAGAAGGCAAGTGTGACTAAGAGCTAAGAGGGCTGCTGATAGTTGGGAGATATATCCTTCAGCATCCTTGTTGAAACTGAGCAGAGCTGGCTGCGGTCTGTACCTAGATGGGTTACTTCCTGGGAATCCCGTTGAGTTGTACAGTGGAAGAAGGACAGAAGAATATTCAGCTGTGCCCACTTCTGCATCCCTTTGATAGTGACTGAAGTGTAGTTATCAGAGACACTTTTAAAGAATTGCTTAAAAATCCCAAGGAGGAGCCATGGCTTAGTGGCAAAGTACATGCTTTTCATCCACAAGAACCCAGGTTTAGTTTCTGGTATCCCTTGTTAAAACAGGATCACAGGTAGTGGGGCTGGGAAAGACTTCTCTGTGCCTGAGATATCTGTAGAGCTGCTGCTATTTAACATAGTACTGGGGCTTCCGGTTTTGGCGCCCGCCATGGCAGCCGCGTTCTCCTGAAGCTCAGGGAGGCACGGGCCAGAGCCTGCAGCTGGGAGGGGGTGTGATTGTCTGCACCACCCCCGGAGCCCTCATGTTGGGCTCCGGGGTGCTAGGAAAGCTCTTCCTCCAGCGAATTGCCGGTGAAGGGGGGCTTCTCCATGCTCCAAAGGTCCCACCGCAGAGTGTCTGTGAATGGAACTAGGAACGCACACCGGGACAAGCGTTCGGTGATCGAGTGAACTTTGAGCCAAAGCGAGCCTATCATTGAAATGTGAGTCAAAGTTCAAGCAGAAACACCTGAAAACTAGCTGAAAACCTCCCCTTTGAAAGCAGAGGGGGAGAGGGAACTCTCCCCCAACAAGAAAACAAACGAACGTTGTAAAGCAGACGAAAGGGGGGGTGGGCTATCGAAACAGGGCGGACTGAAATAAAATACATATAAGAATTTACCAGACCCTTTGAGGGATTCTAGAGACTTTGATAACTTTAACAAAAAGTAAACAATCTCAAACATGGCGCCGAAGAAGGAGGAGAAGGATAAGAACGAAACTGAAGCCTTTAGTTGGAAGTGCCAGCCCAGCGAGTTCTGTCTCTAGACAGGACACAACTGCAGATCTTCAAAGGATGCTGATAGAGGCATTGCGCTCTCTGCTGGAACAAGTATTGGCATTGCGTCAAAAGCTGGATACGCAACAAAATCAACTTGCTGAGACTGTGAAAAAAATGGAAAAAACAGAGCAAAAGCTTAAAGAAGTAGATGCCAGCACCAAGAAGCTTAAAAAACAACTGCAGGTGATGGAGAAAAAGAGACTAGCTGACGAGTCTTAGGTGTTACAACTGCAAATGGAAAGAGCAAGCTATGTTCTAAGATTTCAAGGAGTTCCTCAAGAGAAAGGAGAGGACTTAAAGCAGATGATGTGCGATGCTATTTCCTTGGCAAAAAATATCAAAGCGGATAAATTACAAAGCGAAATAGATACGATCTATAGGTCGTATTCTGAATTTACAAGAAAGAATCATCTGCCCGGGGAAGTGATGGTGAGATTCTCCAGAAGACAAGTGAGGGACCAGATTCTCAAAGCCACAAGTGGAACTCCCATGAATATTAAGGACAAAGAAATTAAAATTTTAAAAGACATTCCGTTTGAAATAAGAAAGAAAAGAAAGAAATTCAGAGACTTGGTACTATATCTTCAGAAAAATAACATTTCCTATAGATGGAATGTACCTGAATGCGTAATCTTAAAATTTAAGGACAAGAAAGAAAAAATTGACTCTGTTGAGAAGGCATCGGAGTTTTTGCAGCAACATAACCGTCCAGCAGGCGAAGAAGGCAAAGAGAGAGACGACAGCACCAAGGAGAGTGATGAAGAGGGAGCAGTGGCATCTTCTGACGAGGACTCAGATTCAAAACTTGGAGCGGCAGCCCCCCCCAAAGGTTACTCATTGAGAAAGGATAGATATTGAGTAGATATTGAGTTGTTATTGTTTCTAGAATTCTCAATAACGAGTATTGTTTCTTGTATTGTTTTTTATTAAGTCAGATGCGCAGGTGTTATTTTATGTTTTAGTCGTCACTATGAAGATCAAGTTTGACCACATCCAATGAACTTTAAACGAACTCTGAGCTAGAAGCTAACTTGAGAAGCAATATGTATGATCACCATCTCTTGCGTTTTTAGTGGGTTTTCTTTACTTTCTCCCACAGTTTGTAGATTCCTCCCCTAATTTCGTTGTAGTTTATATTTATTTATTTATTTAATTTTATTTATACCCCGCCCTCCCCGCGTAGGGGCTCAGGGCGGCTAACAACAGTATGGCACACAGTGCAATAAAAACACAATAAAACAATTAAAACAATTAGGTGCAATGGGCTATGCTCAAGGATCCCGTGTGACTAGCATCCCCTCTCCCTATTGCACATGCCCTTAAATCCAGAGGGAGGCTGTTGTGGCCGCCCCACCCCCCCCCCCATTTCCAGTAGCTCTTTGAAAATTCATAAGAAGGCAAGTGTGACTAAGAGCTAAGAGGGCTGCTGATAGTTGGGAGATATATCCTTCAGCATCCTTGTTGAAACTGAGCAGAGCTGGCTGCGGTCTGTACCTAGATGGGTTACTTCCTGGGAATCCCGTTGAGTTGTACAGTGGAAGAAGGACAGAAGAATATTCAGCTGTGCCCACTTCTGCATCCCTTTGATAGTGACTGAAGTGTAGTTATCAGAGACACTTTTAAAGAATTGCTTAAAAATCCCAAGGAGGAGCCATGGCTTAGTGGCAAAGTACATGCTTTTCATCCACAAGAACCCAGGTTTAGTTTCTGGTATCCCTTGTTAAAACAGGATCACAGGTAGTGGGGCTGGGAAAGACTTCTCTGTGCCTGAGATATCTGTAGAGCTGCTGCTATTTAACATAGTACTGGGGCTTCCGGTTTTGGCGCCCGCCATGGCAGCCGCGTTCTCCTGAAGCTCAGGGAGGCACGGGCCAGAGCCTGCAGCTGGGAGGGGGTGTGATTGTCTGCACCACCCCCGGAGCCCTCATGTTGGGCTCCGGGGTGCTAGGAAAGCTCTTCCTCCAGCGAATTGCCGGTGAAGGGGGGCTTCTCCATGCTCCAAAGGTCCCACCGCAGAGTGTCTGTGAATGGAACTAGGAACGCACACCGGGACAAGCGTTCGGTGATCGAGTGAACTTTGAGCCAAAGCGAGCCTATCATTGAAATGTGAGTCAAAGTTCAAGCAGAAACACCTGAAAACTAGCTGAAAACCTCCCCTTTGAAAGCAGAGGGGGAGAGGGAACTCTCCCCCAACAAGAAAACAAACGAACGTTGTAAAGCAGACGAAAGGGGGGGTGGGCTATCGAAACAGGGCGGACTGAAATAAAATACATATAAGAATTTACCAGACCCTTTGAGGGATTCTAGAGACTTTGATAACTTTAACAAAAAGTAAACAATCTCAAACATGGCGCCGAAGAAGGAGGAGAAGGATAAGAACGAAACTGAAGCCTTTAGTTGGAAGTGCCAGCCCAGCGAGTTCTGTCTCTAGACAGGACACAACTGCAGATCTTCAAAGGATGCTGATAGAGGCATTGCGCTCTCTGCTGGAACAAGTATTGGCATTGCGTCAAAAGCTGGATACGCAACAAAATCAACTTGCTGAGACTGTGAAAAAAATGGAAAAAACAGAGCAAAAGCTTAAAGAAGTAGATGCCAGCACCAAGAAGCTTAAAAAACAACTGCAGGTGATGGAGAAAAAGAGACTAGCTGACGAGTCTTAGGTGTTACAACTGCAAATGGAAAGAGCAAGCTATGTTCTAAGATTTCAAGGAGTTCCTCAAGAGAAAGGAGAGGACTTAAAGCAGATGATGTGCGATGCTATTTCCTTGGCAAAAAATATCAAAGCGGATAAATTACAAAGCGAAATAGATACGATCTATAGGTCGTATTCTGAATTTACAAGAAAGAATCATCTGCCCGGGGAAGTGATGGTGAGATTCTCCAGAAGACAAGTGAGGGACCAGATTCTCAAAGCCACAAGTGGAACTCCCATGAATATTAAGGACAAAGAAATTAAAATTTTAAAAGACATTCCGTTTGAAATAAGAAAGAAAAGAAAGAAATTCAGAGACTTGGTACTATATCTTCAGAAAAATAACATTTCCTATAGATGGAATGTACCTGAATGCGTAATCTTAAAATTTAAGGACAAGAAAGAAAAAATTGACTCTGTTGAGAAGGCATCGGAGTTTTTGCAGCAACATAACCGTCCAGCAGGCGAAGAAGGCAAAGAGAGAGACGACAGCACCAAGGAGAGTGATGAAGAGGGAGCAGTGGCATCTTCTGACGAGGACTCAGATTCAAAACTTGGAGCGGCAGCCCCCCCCAAAGGTTACTCATTGAGAAAGGATAGATATTGAGTAGATATTGAGTTGTTATTGTTTCTAGAATTCTCAATAACGAGTATTGTTTCTTGTATTGTTTTTTATTAAGTCAGATGCGCAGGTGTTATTTTATGTTTTAGTCGTCACTATGAAGATCAAGTTTGACCACATCCAATGAACTTTAAACGAACTCTGAGCTAGAAGCTAACTTGAGAAGCAATATGTATGATCACCATCTCTTGCGTTTTTAGTGGGTTTTCTTTACTTTCTCCCACAGTTTGTAGATTCCTCCCCTAATTTCGTTGTAGTTTATATTTATTTATTTATTTAATTTTATTTATACCCCGCCCTCCCCGCGTAGGGGCTCAGGGCGGCTAACAACAGTATGGCACACAGTGCAATAAAAACACAATAAAACAATTAAAACAATTAGGTGCAATGGGCTATGCTCAAGGATCCCGTGTGACTAGCATCCCCTCTCCCTATTGCACATGCCCTTAAATCCAGAGGGAGGCTGTTGTGGCCGCCCCAATGTTCATTGGCCACTCCCCGGTGGTGCTGCAATACAGGCCCTTATGATGGTAATGGTGGTGGCGGCGGCGGCTCCTATTCGAAAGCCTGGCGGAAGAGCTCCGTCTTGCAGGCCCTGCGGAGCTGTAACAGGTCCCGCAGGGACCTGATCTCCTCCGGGAGCTCATTCCACCAGATAGGAGCCGCCACCGAAAAGGACCTGGCCCTTGTGGCAGCAAGCCTGGCCTCTTTAGGGCCCGGGGTCGCAAGACGGTGTTGCGACCCCGACCGAAGTGCTCTTTGGGGCCTGTGTGGGGAAAGGTTGTCCCTCAGGTATGCCAGACCCTGGCCATGTAGAAAAAGCAATTAAAAAATCCCCTACGGGGGGCAAAAAAAAGTACTGGGCTAGAGGAACCCATTTTCTGACTCTGTAATTTCATATGTTCATGTACCTGATAACACTGATTGACAGATGACTCTTGGGGATCTAATCCATTTCAGATCTGCCAGAAGGTGCAGTAAAAGGCCTCTGTAAGCTGTTCTGCCTCACTCTTCATCGATACAGGTGAGAGGTTAGGGTTGGAGAGTCTGTCGTCCTTTCCAAACTAAGCTGTTTTGAGTTTACTGGAATTCAAGACGCTCCATAAAGAGATGGATGATCTTAGATTCTGGGTCACCTTGTCAGTATATATCTGTGAATGGGGAAGGGCATTGCTTTCAAGCTGTGCGTGTGAATGTTCTGGTTGCCATGGAAGACAGTCTGGGGGGCTAGACGTGTGTCCATTCATACACCCTGTGCTTTTCCTAAAAGCTTGTAGCAGAGAGTTCTGAGTGATAGTGGTACAATGCATTGTGCTGGATATGCCTTTCCTAGCAGTTTCCAGTTTCTCCTTGGGAGTCTAGCCACATCTTTGTAGAAATATACGGGACTTGTTCAAGAAATATTTGGAAAGCTGCTGCTTTTCTTGAGCAGCCAGTAAGTCTTGGTGGTACTGATGTCTTGCTGAGTGAGGCTGAGCTCCTGTAGATTAGCTGAGACCTGGGATGACTGGTAAACATTCAGCTTATTGAAGTGGCAAGGGGAAAAAGAGCTTTTGACCAGATGGGTGATGGAGTCCTTGGAATGGCTAATTTGTGAGCATGAGCAGCAGATGAGTTCTGCAGCCCCTTATTTTAATTTCTCACACTAGAGATGCAGCATCCCACAGAGCCCTCCAGTCCGCCCTTCAGCAGCTTGCCGAATGCCAACCAGAAGCAACCGCAAAGAACCTCCTGCAGTCCCTGCAGTCCTCGGGAATCAGCAGCAAGGCTGGAGGACCCAGGTGAGAGCTGAATGCGTTGCTTGTGGCACTGGAGAGCCATCTGCAGGAAACTTAATGGTCCCCTTCTGAGGCTAATCTCTCTCAGCCAGAAAGCAGAACTCCCCCCCCCCCTTCTGAGTCTTAGCTTGAAATGTGAACTTTATTCTTGTGAGAGGGCTGCTGACTTATTTTGACTGTACAGGAAAGGCAGTTGCTTAGCAGCAGGAATCACTCAAACGAGCTCTCTTGGCTCTCTCTGTCATGATTTAGCATTGTGTCTGCCTGTTGCCAGCACAGGTTAAATGTGGCTGCTTCTGAAAGTTTTGGAATTTAGAAACTCTTAAGCACATCCTTAATCTGTTGTGCTTTTAACAGGGTTTCGCAAAGGCCCAGGGTAACACCAAACCATGGAAGATGGTCGCAGGGAAAATTCACATGAAAAAGGAGAGCAGTTGGGGAACATGCACGTGGTCCTGTAGCCTGCTCCCTAAATTGTGGCTCACAATTATATCTGCACTGGCCTTTATATGGAAAAAAAATGAGAGAATACTCGTGAAGGCAAGGTTAAAAAGCGAGAGGCTGCATGTAGACATCATAGACAGACTTCTGTTTGTTTGGGATGGGCCCAGATGTGGTGGGTTGCCATGTTTGGAAGTCTACAACCTCAAATCCATTTTGTTTTGATATCCGAGAAAACCATAGATCAAGATGAGTAGTCATGTTAGTCAGTCTGTAGCAGTAGAAAAGAGCACACCAAGACTAACACAATTTGTGGCAAGGGATGAGCTTTTGTGAGTCACTCCTCACTTCAGTCCAGTGGGACCTTAAAGACTAACTTCAGTCCCGTAGAACCTTAAAGACTAACAAAATATGTGGCAGGGTATGAACTTTCATGGAGTCACCCATAACTCCTGAAAGCTCATACCCTGCCACAAATTTTGTTCATCTTTAAGGTGCTACTGGACTCTTGCTCTTTTCTACTGAGAAACCCATAGTTTAGGATCCCAGTTTGTGGGGAGGAAGTGACCTCTGGTTTATCTGAGTGATGGCATTCTTAAATCAAGTAGATAGAAGACTTTGAAAACCAGGAAGTCTTCAGTTGTGCTCTGCATGTGAGGGGAAGGAGGCAGGGAGTGCATGGTCATACTGCAAACTACTCCGATGTTATGAACAGTTTGTCTAATTGCAGCAGGCATGAACCTGGTTAATTATTATGAGCCTGCTCTCCCTGTGGCCTTCCCTTCACATGCAGAGCACAATTGAAGACTTCTTTGTTTTCTCTATTCAGAGCTGGAAAATTTTTAGAACCTAATACAAGAAGCAGCAGCCTGAGAAACATAATCGGCCTCGATTTGTGGCCCTCAGTAGTGCCATTGAAATCATAGGCTCATTCTCTTTATTCTCCTTGTGTGACAGTAAGAGTAATGGATCTGCAGCTTCGCTGGCCTTATCTTGGACTTGTCTGCTTGTTCGCATAGTCTTCCCCACCCCTGACAAAAGGCAAGGAGACACCTGGGAGAAGCTGGTAAGGATCTTTGATTTTGATATGCTTAACTTTGATGTAATCTACTTTTCTGGGTAGGGGCTTTGGTCTTTACATGCTGCTGTAACTTTTGTTTGGGTTGTTGGGCTTTCTAGTCTTCAAGGGATTAATGCTTGGAGGTGAGGAGTGGTGGAGGAGGAAGTTTATGCCATTTGGCCTGCATGTGTAGGCTCCATTATATAAAAAGTGAAATTCATCTAGGGTTGGGAAGAGGTGGGATCCCCCCCCCCCCAGACTTTATATACACTTAGCGAATCTTTATGATTAGGCCATCATGCCTTTTGGTGTAACTCGCTGTACCCAACCTTTAGAACCTTTTACATAGTGATCTTAAAAAGTAGTATACGTTGTACGGCTGTATATGTATATGCCAGCGTGCAAGACGGTTAACTTTATTTTTTGCTGTGATAAAATGAAAATCAGTTCTCTAGCTATTACTCTTGCTTCCCTGATGTCCCATAAGTGGCATGTCAAGGAGCCGGATGTGGTTTCCAAGCCACTGAGTATCACTGGTTTAAACTGGCCCATTCTCTTGTAACAGGTGGAAGTCCAGTGTGTTCTACTGTTGGAGGTTTTGGGTGGCTCTCGCAAGCCTGTGGTGGACGGGGCTGTAAAGAAACTGAACAGGCTTTGGAAAGAGGTAAAGTCCAGCTTCTGAAAGCATGACTCATGTTAATTGGATGACTTTGGCCCATCTTGCACTAACTTTCCTGATCTACTGCTCGGTTTTCTCCTCAGAACCCTGGGCTTGTGGATAAGTACCTCTCTGTCATTCTTGGCCTGGAAGCCAACCAGGGCTATGCAGCCATGTTGGGGCTGCTGGTTCAGTTTTGTACCAGCCAGAAAGAACTCGGCATCATTAACAGATACAAGGCGAGTATGGAAGGTGGGCTCAGCGTGTGAGAAGGTATGGCAGGCTACTAGCATCACTGGGGGCTGAGTTTTCACTCGAGGGGAAACCTGCAGTTGAGAGCAGAGCAGTTGTAGTAAGAGATTTGAGACCCCTTATTCTCTGTCTTTACCGCAAAGTGCACAGTGTGCATTGTTGCAGGTACCTAACTGGAGTGTTTCTGCTTCTTCAGAGCTCCCTCCTTGATTTCTACATGAAGACCATTCTGATGAGCAAGACAAAGCCTCAGAAGCACCTGCTGGTGAGAGAGATCGAGATCCAAAACTGACAACTAAGTCCAAGAATTACCCCACAATAAGCTCAAAGCCTAACTTGTCTGTACGAAAACAGTCTAAGTACAGAGTACTGCTTGATCTGACCAAAGGTCCGTCTACTGCAGTATCCTTTTCTCCAGCAGTGACCAGCCAGATGCTTCTGCAAAGCCCGTGAACGTGGTTTTCCCCTGTTCTAACTCTTCTTCCCTGCTCTCAGCAGGTGATATTCTGAAGTATATTTCATCTCTTTAGCTGACATGGCTAGTAGCCATTGATGGATCTGCGCTCCGTGATTTTGTTTAAGGCCACCTAAGCCAATGGCCATTGCCACTTTTTGTAGCAGCAAATTCCATTAAGTTAACTATGTAAAAGAAGAAGAACTCTCCCCCCTCTTCTGTCCTGCTTCTACTGCTGGTTATTTTCATTGGGTAACCTAAGTTCCAATGCTATATGAGAGATTTTCTCTCTCCCCACTTTACACAATTTATATTGTTATAAATGTCAAGTAGAATTGTCATTTCCTCTAAAATGTTAGTAAGGGTGCTCACATATCATATTTGTCATGTAATGCCGCTAGTTTTTAATTAGACTTCTTTAGGTGTATTATATCTGTTTGCACTCCCTGCATCTAATATGAAAATAGCATGACGCTCTTGTTGTGTGTGTGTGGTGGTGATGGTGCAGGTATTGTCACGCCAAATAAGTTGGAATCTAGAAACCCTCAAAGCCTGCTGCAGAATTGTGGGGTTTTATCAGGGGAAAACCTTTCGTCTGTTTCCCCCTGCTGTTTTGCAGTTAGTTCAGGCACATTAGCTGTTAAACTGTCTGAGGAAATAGAAATTTGTGCATATTATATCACAGATAATATGCCCCTTGCTTACACAGATTTCTAGCAGTATGCACATTAAAGAGCTGAGTTCTTTACTGTATCCGTGCTTCCAGTGGGTGTTCTAATTAGGAAACATGCCATGTTTCCCCTGAGCCCAAATGAAACTTCCCTTCTCCATGGTTGTTTCATGGTGATGGTTGACTGAACATGTTCAGCCGAACTTCACCTCCAAACTGAAGGTTTATTTGGGTCCACTGTTCAAGGTGTGTGCATGTGGGTAGAAACAGGGAATGCCCATCACTTTCGTTCCCAGTTTGTGGGATTCCATAGCTGTCTGGCTAGTCACTGTTGGCAAGAAAAGGCTGAATTAGACAAACCTTTTGTTTGATCCAGCAAGGCACTTCTTTCACAGTAGAGTGAACACTTGCTCACTTGATGGTGTATGTGTGTGTGTGTGGGGTTTTTTCCTATCTTCCCCATGTGGCTGGTCAAGTGATTATTCTCACTGCATGAATCCACCCAGTAGTCCAGACAACGGTTGATCTCTCTGTTTATTAGGAAGGCAGAGGTGTGTTTTTTTTCTTATCCTCCAGGGAAGAAAAGTTTGGCTGGGGTTGACTAGGAGGCACCTCCCACTTCCTCCTATAGCTGTGTATGTTGTATTCCGTATTATCAGCTTTGGGTTTCTTGCAGGACAACTGTGCTCCTTTGCTCCGATACGTGTCTCATACTGAATTTAAGGACCTAATGTTACCAGCCTTGCAGAAGTCCCTGCTGCGGAGCCCTGAGAATGCCATTGAAAGTGAGTGGCTGGTGGAAGATTGCTTGGAGAGGGTTGAGCTGAGTTAAGATCTGTGTGCCCAGGTGTTTTCCCCCCCTCCTTGGGATTTCAGTGATTCTGGCCACCTTGCAGGTCTTATTTTTATCTTTGGTGTTTGAGTGCTTGGGCAAGAGTGAAGCCTGGTTATTCATTGGATTAGGCAGAGTCTGAACTGTTGGCCACTAGGCTGCCTTAGCTGACTACTTTGGACATTTGGTGGAAAGTGCTGTCAAGTCACAGCTAACTTTGGCAACCTCAGAGGCCATGCCAGAAAACCGATGACTTTAACACCCTTTTCTGTCTCCTTTCTTCAGCAATCTCCTGTCTGTTGGCATCTGTAACCCTGGACCTCAGCCAGTATGCTCTGGACATAGTGAAAGGCTTGGCCAGTAAGTTCTGTCATCTGCAGATGTGGAACCCCACAGGAAATTCCCCCTTGTCACTGCTGCACTATCTGCACCATCCCTGAACTGCTTAGTACTGGGCCTTCTCCTTATGGGAGGAAGGAGGGAAATAATTTTGTTTAATAGAAGTGGAATTGTTCCTCCAAGTCTTTGAAGCTTGGCACCCATTTTGCACAGAACACAGTTGCTTTGTGGAAAGATGGGACAGTTCATGTGAATGAGTGAGGACAAATCTTGCAATTTAAGCAAAATATACACTGATTACCAGTTTGTTTCAAGGTAGGCCCAGTTTATAGATGTTCCCTACAAGGCCCTAAATGGCTTAGGGCAGCATACTTGAAGGATTGCCTGCCATGAAGCTTGCTGGGTGACCTTAGTAGTTCTGAGATTGGTGATCTCATGTAGATTTGAGACTCCTGCTGGAGGCATGCATGAATGTCCATCCTTTCCCTATCACCCCCATGCATAGGACCGCAAACGTTAACTGATGTAATTTACAGATTTATTAATTGGGCTATGCTTTACTCAGAGGCCAGTGTTAATAATTGAAGACACATTTTAAGTGATGATGCTATGAATTGTTTGTTTTGTGGCTGTTTTGGTTCTGGCTTGTTACTTGCATTTCCTTCCAGCTAAGAGTGATAACTTTTGTTTAATTGTCAGTGATTTCCAACACTGTTTCAGTATCTCAGAAAGACATATATAGTTTTGGTGGTACCCAACTTTAGTTAAATGGTTTAATCTGTTTTTTTATTTAAAGGCAGATGAGCCATCAGTTTAAAAAAGTCCTTCATGCGTTATCAGCCTTAGTTTCATTATGTATATTGCATCAAAATAATATTTAATATTTTTTTGAAAATCAACGAAGCTACATTTAAGGTCTTGTCTCCCATTCCCCCAACCCCATTTCAGAAAAAAATCTGCACACTATGTATTTGTGAGGTTTGCTATTTTTGTGTTTGATTTTAGGCCAGTTGAAATCCAACAGTTCCCAGCTGATGGATGAGGCTATAGTTGCATTAAAGAATTTGGCTCGGCAATGCAGTGACCCAGCGACGGTAGAGTCACTCGGGAGGCACCTCTTTGCCATCCTGGGGGGTGAGTGGCTCTTTCTCTGGTGCAAGGACTTTACCACTCCTTCCTTGCGGACTTGATTGTTATTATATTTCTTATGGCTGGCCTGCTGGTGGCACCTCCAGCTACCTTGCTCTGTAAGAGACCTTCCCTGCAAAGTGCCAAATTTCTGACTTTGGGGGATCGCGGGTGTGGACTGTGTGAGTTGATCAGGTGATGGGGAGGGCTGGAGATGCAGTAGTATTTACTTTTTGGGCATATGAGCAAAACCTTCTGAAGGCAACACCTTGCAAATGGGTAAGTTCAGCAACTGCCTGTGCAGTGGTGGCTCCCCCCCCCTTGTAGGAGGAGCCTACCTGAGGGCCAGCAGACCCCCTCCCCCACATCTCTCATTCTGCAGAATGTGTTCAGGAGAGCATTTTTGTAAAGGGATTAAAACCGTAGTATAAAACTGTAGCACAGGAGATCACTTTATAAGAGAGAGGTGTGTAGTCTATTGCAATGTCTTTCGTATGTATCTCCTTCCCTTTAATACCTTTATTACCTGCTTTCTGTATTATGGTATTTCATGCTTTAAACAGGTTTTTTGCATTGTTGTTCAGTTCTGTAATCCTGGTCCTGCTGCACTGTTAATTGGAGTTCTCTGCTGTCTGGTTGCTTTACATTCTGTAATCTGCCTTGAATCTCAGCAAACAAGGCAGGCCATAAATGAAGTAAATGCAATACATAAAAAATAAATTATGTTTCTGGCCTGTAACATTCCCTGCAGTGACTTCCTCTACCGTGTTGTCAGTTCAGTTTTTGGGGCATTCTCCTCCCCTGCCTAGTTCACACATGCACGGAATGAAGTGGGAGAATGTTACAATGGTAGAATAGACTGTACTGCTTTACTTGCATTTCAAAATGCTTCTCTGTGTATGAAACCCCTCTGCAAACAGAAAAGCGAGGAAAAAGTGGACAGAATTTTTCCTCCTGATATGCTAGCTCTCTGTTTTCATGGAGTTGTGAAGGAACATTAAAAACTGGACTGGAGTGGTGTGTAGCTCACTCCCCCCCCATCCAGTGGGGCTCTGCATACCCTTTGTCACCTCATTCTCCTTCATGTGTGAACCAGGCCTTAATAAAGTTGACCCCTTATCTACAGAGGGGTTGGGAATGAAATTGCATTTTTGCATGTATCTTAACATAGAATTATTTAAAGATACATCTCTTTTGTCCAAGCCTGCCTTGTATATTTTCCTTCTCCTTTTCCATTCCTTCCCTGTGTTTGTTCTTTGTGTCTTGTTCTGTCTGTATGAGCAGAAACTCCTCTCCTTAGCCACTGAATATGTGAGCAGTTCCAGTGTGCAGGGTCAGTTTCAATAGCTGCCCAGTCTCTCCCCCAACTCTGAATCTATGATTCTCCCGTAATATTTGTTAGGTGCTGAAGGGAAGCTGACGGTTGTGGCACAGAAGATCAGTGTCCTCTCAGGTAAGAATTCTGTGTGAGTGCTCCAGACCATCCAGTAATCATAGCTGATATGTCTTCTGTGAGACAAGGTGTGGAACCCAAGTTTTTCTTTTATTGATGCCTTTTTGATCCTTGTGATTGCAGAGAGGGATCTTGCTAGTTGCCTTGCAGCAAAAATGATTGTTGGTCTGTCTAGCCCAATGTTGGCTACTTCGATAAGCAATGGCTCTACATAGTCTTTCTGAATTTATTTATTTTTTTTTTTGCTTTTAGGGATTGGCAGCTGTAGCCATCATGCAGTTTCTGGGTCATCCAACCAGGCTTTAAGCACAGCTATGGCAGAACTTTTCATCCCATTTCTACAGCAGGAAGGTAAGCATCTCTTCATTTTTCTCTCTTTCTTAAAATGCATAATCCTAAAGTGCAACTGTCATTTTATACAGTTTGTTCACTGCATCTGGATGCAATACAAGTCTTCTTATATTGTTATTTTCCCCCTCTATCATCAGTCCATGAAGGTACCCTGGTGCATGCCATCTCTGTCCTTGCTCTCTGGTGTACCCGTTTCACCACTGAGGTGCCCAAGAATCTGATCGAATGGTTCAAGAAAGCCTTCAGCCTTAAAACCTGTACTTCAGCTGTGAGACATGCCTATTTCCAGTGCATGCTGTCATCCTTCAAAGGTAAGGTTTATCCTTGTTCGCTGAAGGTACTTGTAATTCGGACGTAGTTGGTTTTTTCTAACCATCTGTCAATCATGTTTTCTCATACACTTGGTACTTTGATTGCAAGTACAAATCATGCTGATTGTCAGCTGTGTTTAGCTTATAATTGTTTTCTCTCAAGCTGCAGAAGAATTGTACACATTTTAATGCACAGCTCCCTGGCCATGATGTATTAGATTTCTCAAAGTCAGCCCTCCCCCTTCCCCCCTGATGATGAACTGTGTTCTTTAGAGGTTTGTGGTCTCTCCTGTTATGATATAAACAAATAAGACTGCATACAGACATCACAAACAGGGTGGTCTTTGTTGTTTAGCTAGCTTGCATACTCCCCCTCCAATGATTAATGGCTGCCAGAATGCTATAGAACCATAAAATGCAAAGATAATACATAAAATACTGCAGTAAGTATTACCAGGATTAAGGGAGAGCAAGTTCTTAGTAACTATTATGAAGACCCTGCATCCTGGCAAGATTATTTCTGCATACCACTGGTTAACTACCACTGACCTGAGAACACAGTCTGAAAACCACTTACTTTAGAGAAATCCAAAGACTGTAGAGATGCTCTCTGGGATGTTCTGCCCATTATGGTCATTATGGATCTTTTTAAACATCCTGTTTCAGTGCAGTTCTGGAGAAAGGATTCCTGATGTGCTGCTTTCCTCCTTCTTACCCCCTACAGGAAATGTACTTTTTCAGGGACTAGACTTGCTGCCCTTGCTGATCCAGACAGTCGAGAAAGCAGCGACGCAAAGCACTCAGGTTCCCCTCGTAACGGAAGGCGTTGCAGCAGCTTTGCTGATTTGCAGGCTCTCTGTGGCTGACACACAAATAGGTAAGATCTTGAGCAGATCCCTGGAGGCCTGAAATGGTTTTTCATTTTTTGATAGGACCCGTTTCCTAGGAAGAGATTGTTTAGAAATAATAGGCAGAAATGAACTTATGTTAACTTAGCTGCATCGTTCAGAAGTCCTTCTGTTGTAATGCAGTTGCACTGTTGTTTTGTATGTTTCCAAGCCAATCTCAAGGTGCTGGTTTCAGCTTTTCATAAAGCCCTTAACAATGTGTGCACACTCCCATATGTAGCTCTCTGTAATTTATTTATTTACTTATTTATTTACTTACATCCTGCCTTTCTCCCCAGTGGGGATCCAAAGCAGCTTGCTAGGCACTGCAATGGAATTTCTAGGCACCACAGAGATCTGATACCTGGAATTTATTGAATCCTGTCCTAAGCGCACAATACTATGTGCCCACAGAGGTTAGCCGTGATGAAGGGATTGGATTGGGGGTAAGCTGCAGGAGCCGTGACCTGGATGGCCCAGCCTAGCCTGATCTTGTCAGATCTCAGAAGCTAAGTAGGGTTGGTCCTGTTTAGTATTTGAATGGGAGACCTACGAGGAATACCAGGGTCGCTACACAGAGGCAGGCCATGGGAAACTGCCTCTGAACTTCTCTTGCCTTGAAAGCCCCATGAGGCTGCCATAAATCAAGTGGCACTTTACTCACACACACACAAGCTGCAGAAACACACAATCTTTTCCATGTGAAAATTTTGTCAAGGCCCGCCCCCCTGGTGACATTTAAACAATGTAAAAATTTGTGTGGGCCTGGCCATCAAATATAGTTAATGCTAACCAGGGTTCACTCTTACCCAAAGCATAGGTACAGGCTTCAGATTTTCATTAAAACTTATAGTACTTGTTGGAAAATGCTAAGGGGT